GGCTGAGGCTCTGCACGGCACAGACAGGTCACAGCCCAGACAGTCAGCCTGACTTCTGGGGCCATGCTTTTGTCACTCTTCTAAACAGCTGTCAAATTGAGCAGAACAAAGCGTGATGCCTGAAGACTTCTGACACATTTTACATCAATTACCTGATGGAAGACAAAATACTTGAATGTTACAAAGGCGATGTTCCCATGTTCACTTACAAAGTCAAATAAAGGGGTGGCAGTTCTCAGTACAACTGGCGGTGGTGACAATGATCTGTTACAAGGCCTAAAAGTCATATCAATGCTAATATGTCAAAGAGATGTGATACAAACACCAATGGAATCAGCTCCTCAAAGGGAATGAAGGCCGTAACATAATGAAAATAGAGGAAATTTTATAGTTCTGAGTATGGTTGTGATGGTAATGTCAAGCAGAAGATACTAATGTGGAACTGGCCTCTCCTGGGCCTTAGAGGGAATGTGTTTCCACCCTCTCCCTGAGACATGCTCCACCACTGCAGATAACCTGTGGAATTGCTCTGCAAAGAGAACCTTGATCCAAGTCTCTCTGGCTAAGCAGTCACTATTTTCTAGTGCAAAAGTTGAATCAAAACAGGAAAGAAAAAAAAAAAAAAAAGCCCACTCTGACTCCAACCTCTCTAGGCAATTTCTGTTTGGATTTTCTTTTATGGGGCAGGAGTAATGGAATATTTCTGAATTCCATATTAATCTTCAGTTGTTTAAATCACTATTTAGTATCAAATAGTTTCTTCTTGGCCATGTAGGCTTAAAAATATGCCTAAGCTCTCTCTTGTCCTATGAAGTGTGGCAGGATAGGGTAGTGGTGATAGGGGCTCTGGAGCCAGGCTGCCCAAGTTAAAGTCCAGCTCTGACACTTACCAGCTCACCAGCTGTGCAACCTCAGGAAAGTTGTGAATTCTTGATGTACGTCAGTCTCCTCATCTGAAAATGGAGATAATATGGAGTTCTCCCTTCTGGGGTGGTTGTAAGTTAGTGCACGTAACAGCATATGGCACATTGTAAACATGTCAGTAGATACTATTCACAATTATTGAATTTACCTTACAGTTCACTGTTCGTAATTTAGGCAGGAATCCTATGCCAAACCCGACCAAGATTGGGGATTGTATTTTTACATTAATTATGAGGTTGGTATACGTGAGTTATGAAATCATTCAGTGGAAAGATTCTTCAACTCTCAAAAAATCAATTTAATGCAAGTAGTAACTATTTATTGTATTGACATATTTACAAAATATTACAAAGTGAAATACCACTCTAATTCACCACATTACCCAAAGGCTACATACAGGCAAGACAAAGTATATGGAAAACATTTACTTCTGTCTTTGGTATTAAAAATCTACACAAATCCACAGCACTTAATACAAAGTATTAAACGTAGACAAAGATGTAATCGGTAACGTCATGTAAAGGGGCTCTAATATCCTAAGCTAGGAAAGCCCCAGCCCACGAAATGCAACAGGAAGACCAAACACCATTTGTAAGGCGGAAAGTCTATTGATTAAAATAAACAATACATGCTGCAGTACTGTACACAGGACTGTTTCAATCGCATGACGCTGCTCTCCCCATAACAACATTGGGCTGACAGTAACAGAACATTGCAGAGTTGCAGATAAGACTTTATAGGAAAGAATCCACCCCAAGCGTACACCTTGGGGGGTGTAACTTTACTGTACAGAACATTTTATAAAATACATTTTTGTGATCATTTACACATATACAAAAACTTAACTGTTTTTAACAAATAATTTTTCTAAAACAAAATCACAGTTTACATAATTCTGAGGTAAAGGTCTTGAATCT